TTCTTTATCACTCTTGCTTTGTGACATGGTGCTCCATCATGCTGGAAAATGCACGGATCATCACCAAATTGCTCATGGATCGTTGGAAGAAGTCGCTCTTGCAGGACATTTTGATACCATTCTTTATTCATTGCAGTGTTTTTGGGTAGAATTATGAGAGAGCCCACTCCCTTGGTTGAAAAGCAACCCCACACATGGATGGTCTCAGGATGCTTCACTGTTGGCACGTCACAGGAGTCATGGTAGCGTTCACCTTTTCTTCTCCGACCTATCAATTTTCCAGATGTCCCAAACAGTCGGAAGGGAGCTTCATCAGAGAAAATAACTTTGCCCCTGTCTTTTGCTGTCCAATCCTTGTACTTCCTGTAGAATTTCAGTCTGTCCTTGACGTTTTTCTGGGAGAAAAGTGGCTTCTTTGCTGCACTTCTTAAAACCAGGCCGTTGTCCAAAAGTCTTGGCCTCACTGGGCGTGCAGATGCTCTCATTCCCGAGCAAGCTCTGCACTGGTAGTGACTAGCACGATTCCGTAGCTGACTCCTCAGGAGGAGACAGTCCTGGTGCTTGCTGGACACTCTGGGAAGTCCTGAAGACTTCTTCACTGCAGTCGAACCTCTCTCCTTTAAGTTCTTGATGATACGGTAAATGGTTCTTTCAGGTTCTTTCAGGAACCCCGGGACCCGACCGGATTGTTTGCGCAGCGGTATTAAATTCCCGAATAAAACGCGGTAGCGGTCGGTAACTCTGGTGTAATTTGAACAGGAGCGAGCGGTCTAACAATATCCTGTTCCCGACATCCATTTAGAACAGCATATCTGCGCTTTTTTCTTATTGACCACCGGTACAGCTTGACCTCAGGACTGTTATGCACGCGCTGGAATAGAACCTTGCGGGAGCGGGACTAAGAAAACAGTCCCGCGCAGACCGAGGTTACCGAGGTCTGGACTTTGGTCAATTTTTCATGTTCAAAAATAAAATTTGTTCTCTGAATGACTAATTTGCTGTTTAAAACTCCTCATATGAATCTGCATGACATGTATAATTCAGTTTAGACAGTTTGCAAGAATGTTTAGCATCTGTGGTATGAAAATAATCACTGCAAGACACTGCAGAGTGAACAAGTCTTGAAAGAGTTATGAGTGGGGGCACGGTCGCAGCCTCCGTGTTGCCAGATCAAGCTATTATAAGCGTTTTTGGACTTGTCTCTTCCACTTAATTTGACTTTTTAGAAAGTTAATAAAGTGTGAAGTTGCAGTTTAGGGTCAGCGATATCTTTATCTTATCTTATTTGCAAAAGGTCTGAAATAATTTCAGTTTATTTTTATTTATTGTTCAGTTAATGTTTGATTTAATAGCAATATCTGGCAAGACTACATCGCCGGCACTTAAACTGACAGTAATCAAAAAAGCCCATGGACATGTTATTGCTGAGAGGATATGACATTCGTTAAGGGAAACGGAAAAAAAAAATCATGATATTATCTGACAGAATCTTTATCAACGCTGTCAAAAACAGTAGCATTTAAAGGTGCCATGGAATGGAAAACTGTATTTACCTTGGCATAGTTGAATAATAACAGTTCTGTACATGGAAATGACATACCGTGAGCCTCAAACACCATTGTTATGATGCCCGCATTTTATACGTATACAGTATAATTACCCAACAATATAACTGCGAGAGACTGAAATATATATTTTCCCTGTGTTTCCTTCCTGCTGTGTGAGCTACTGAAATGAGCCGCACTGTGAAACAGCCAATCAGAGCAGAGCTCAACATTATTATTCATGACCCTTCCAAATAAGGTAAAAACAGACCATTTCATTCTAGGGACAAATCCTAGGGTTGTAAATGGACATGTAAAACCGTTTCTGGAGATTTTTTGCCCTTACCTAAGCCACATACCTTCTATGTAGATATCAGAGAACAATTGAAAATATTGTATCAATGCATTCTATGGCACCTTTAACACTAGTACACAGATCTGTAGAACTAGTAGGTTACAGAATGAATTTTCACAAAGGCATGTTAAAAACATTTATAAAACTATATACAGTATACATTTATAATAAGCAACTGATAAAATTATCCACCCCATAGTAAAGTATTAACAAATTTTGATGCAATAAATAGGGTACGATTTAAAAATGATCATCCCTCCAAAACAGAGAAAATATCTTTCACAAACCACAAACATCTACGTGCTTGTCTCTTTTAAAGTGTTTATAATGTATATAATGAGTTGTATTTGTAGGGGTTATTATAGCACAATTCTTTAACATCGAGTGCTTGTAATAACTTCTGATTGTGATCTAAAGTTGATTTTTATTCTATAATAGGCAGACAAGCACTGTCTGTATGCTTTGTATGCTTTATAATGGATTGAATGCGACACCTGCTTCACATTTGTCATACACATTCTTTATTTTTATAAAAATATCATGAGCTGCATAAAACACATACAGAATATATCGTCATAATCATATGTTTTGCTTTCATATTTCATGTATAGAAAAATGTTTCTCTCATTTTTTCATATGTAATGGCAGGAGATATTATCCCATGATTGACAGATTTGGAGTAAATGCGCTCTGAGCTCTGACTCCTAACACTCGCGCTCGTGGAAGAAAACGGACAGTGCTCTTCAGATTACATTCAGTGGAGAATTATAGAAATTATATTCTGTATAAAGAACATGAGAGAATAAATCTGTTCTCAGATACCAATGATAACAAGAACGCACCCTCTTCTCTCTCAGAATACTCTTCTTCGGTGTTTGTTTACACTGGTTTTTGAAACAGCGCCACCACTCTCACCCTTTTGTGCAACAGCAGCTGCTCCGGGCACGTGATCTTAGCTCAAATCTAATTGGATGGCCCATTGTCGTGAAGCGACAGGGAAAAAATCGACACACAGGACAAAGAAAAATCCTTGCTTTTTCGCGACGTGTCATGCGAATGATCAAGCCTGGTGTGAATAACCCCATAGGGATCTATTGTTTCGATTCAAAAGTGTCATAGTGACGAACATTCACGTCGAATTTTCACATTCAGTGTGAAAAGGCCTTTATGCTGTACTCCTTTTATTTCATGCAGCAAAAGCAATAAACCCTCCAAATCACAGGTAGATTCAAATTTTCCATTTCATCATTCAGTAACAAAACACAATGCAGATTGTAATAATGGCCAGAGTTATGCTGGTTACATTAGCTATTGACAAGATAGCATTGTCCAATCAGATTAAAAGAAAAGTTTCAGAGATGAGTTCCTGTGGCTCAGTGGTAGAGCATTGTGTTAGCAGCACAAAAGGTCGTGGGTTCAATTCCCAGGGAACACACATACTGATAATAAACTGCATAGCCTGAATGCACTGTAAGTTGCTTTGGATAAAAGTGTCTGCTAAATGCATAAATTATTATTAGATGAAAGTTATTACATTTTTATAAAAAATTATGAAGACATTTTTATAAGAAAATGCACTAATAAATTATGCAGGAATATGAACGATTATAATTGAACAAGTTTCCAGGACAAGAAAATAATGTAAACCTCATCATCTGAAAAATATTTTCAGAAATGCTGTGAGGTTGATAGAACTACCAGTTCCTACAATAACCAACCTTTGATAGGGAGTTCCTCAGGGGCAACCAGCAGCTGAGAGCAACCACACCAGCCAGCTTCTGATGAGTTGTCAAAGCGGTGTAGAGAGAGAGGGCTCCGCCCTTTTACCATACACAAACAAATCAAGCAATCATTAAAATATTATAGTTTAATTTATGTGTTTTCAATCATGTCTAACTCCAGGGCCCTCATTTATCAAGAGTGCGTAGAAAAGGTTTTATATTTTGTCCTATGAATGAAATTTAGAATGTAAGTACAAAAAAAAAAAAATTTATTTATCAAACGTGCGCACGTGGTTCTTACACACGCCAGTAAGTAATCATTGTTGATAAATCCCACGTTCTTAAGCACCATGCTCGTTCACGTTCATGGTCATTTGCAGTCAGAAATGCCTCCAATGAGCCATATATGGTAAAGAGGTGACAACACCTCTCTTTATTATCACGTGAATGTATACGTCCTCACCGAAGTCATGGCAAAGAAAGCTGTACCGACTGAGAAGCCATTCTGTGCTCTCATTAAACTGATCAGCGCGCTCTTTGAAAACCCATTCTCTGCGCATGCAGCACATGGTTTGCCAAATCTTCCAGCAAAGCGAGATCAGCCATGACCATATAGCAACATTTCAAATCGACTTCCCAACTGTCCTTTATAGCATTTAACACTAATTGTGCAAATGTTTAGCTTGAAATATGAAATTATTATTTGAGTATTTGCAATTAAAGGACATAGGATACATGCGGTGGCACTTTCTTTTTGTAGTATCACCATTCTACCACTAGATTATCTGCGTAAGCATGCTCAGAGTTGTGCTTATATTTACACACAGCTATGTATAAGTACAAGTTGGTAGAACCCACACGTTGCGTGAAACTGTTTTTACGCACTCATTACGCATGTGTACGCACTGTTGATAAATGAGGGCCCAGGACAGGAGTCAGGACAGACAGAATTATAGTTACAAAGACTTAAACTAGGACATCAGGAAAACCTAAAATCCAGTGGTGATTTTGGTGGTAGAAAAAAACTGTTCCCCTTCAAAATAATTCTAAGACTGGTTCGTACGATGTCTGTTGATGAGTTTGTCTACATTACTGTCTATATCATTAATAAAGTCTGCTTTTGGATTCATTTTTGAAACAACATCTCATCTCAAAGTACAGGGTTCATACACATTTTTATCAATAAATTTCCATGATTTTCCATGACTTAAGACATAATGCGGGCAACTTTTTGAGCAATTTTCCCAGGCAACTTTTTTTGAGCAATGTTGCTTGGTCACTTTCCCCAACAGGGTCTGGCTGCAGACTTGCACTTGCACTCTCAGACTTGCACTCTCAGACACTTGCGCTTCCACAAGTGACGTCACTTGCAGTCTTTATTTTTTATTTTGTTCTATTCATTGATTATTTTTGTTTGAATCTCTCAACATTTTACAACAGTAGCCAGGTGTTGAAGTCAAGAAAAAAGAAACTAAATTACAATGTCACTTGCAATCGCCACTTGCACTCTCCGCTACCTGCGTCACTTGCAATCGACACAAATCGTGCGTGTTGCCAATGGAGACTATGGTGGTGATTTAATGATTAAAACTAATTTAGTACAATAATGTACATGGTCCTGCAAGAAAAAGACAAGACCCGCAAATCCGTGGCCACAGAACAGCAGAACATGAACGCAATGCACAAAGTCTTTCGTTAAGCATTTTCCTCCCGTAGAAAAACATAAACACTTAATATGGTTTAATGTATTAAGATGCTATTAAAATATCAAATTCAATATACAGTTTATTAAAATAATGAATATGTATATAGTATTTTCCACCCATACCGCAAAACGTGGCAGATGTGGCATAATGGACTAAGATGATAAAGACCAAACTCAATATGCTCGTCTTCATTATTAAAATATAGGCTACATAACTATGCACAGGCAAGCAGGTGAGCCCAGAATAAACGCAACACGCAAAGTTTCACATTAAGCGTTTTTCCATATAGAATAAACTTTCTACAGCTCTTTTATATCATTGTCTTTGTCCATTAAGCTACATTACGTGTTTTATTTATAAAGATTTTTTATGGGAGGAAAATGTTTTTTATGGGAGGAAAATGTTTAACGTGCAATTTAATGCATTGCGTTCTGGGCTCGTCTGCTTGCCTGTACGGAGTTGATCCTTTTAAAATCACTTAATGCATTTCATAATGCATGTTCATATCTGCTGGTCTGTATATACTTTGCGTCAACAACAAGACATATAGGATACTGAATTGTCTTTATCGTCTTAGTCCGCTATTATGCCACATTAAGCATTTTGTTGTATGGGAGGACAAGTGAAAGTTTGCGCATTGTGTTCATATGCCATGTTTTGCGGTATGGGAGGAAAATACTATACACATATTCATTATATTAATAAACTGTATATTGAATTTGATATTTTGATAGCATCCTAATACATTAAGCCATAGGCTATTAAGTGTTTATGTTTTTCTACGGGAGGAAAACGCTTAACGAGAGACTTTGTGCATTGCGTTCATATTCTGCTGTTCTGTGGCCACGGATTTGCGGGTCTTGTCTTTTTCTTGCAGGACCATGTACATTATTGTACTAAATTAGTTTTAATCATTAAATCACCACCACAGCGTCTTGTCTCCATTGGCAATACGCAAGATTTGTGTCGATTGCAAGTGACGTCGCAGGCAGACGGCACAGTTTTGCTGTCACAAGACCGACTGCACGGATGCAATAACTGAAATTAATACGTGTTCTTTCTCAATTGTTTACATTCACTTAAGACAAAACCGACTGTGTTTACGAGGATACTCGCCAGGACGGCCATTTTTAGAACCTCAGATGATGCCAACCCTGAAACAACATACAGAACTAACACATTTTGCTACAAGTTTGATTGCAACATATAATAATTGCTGTTAATAGTGTTCATAGTCTGTTTGATTACGTCTTTAATTGATTTTTTTGTACATTTCTGCCATATTTACTGACATAGTCACCACTGATAAGCTACTACTAAATATATTGTAGAAATATATATTGTACAGCTGCTTTGCAACGATTTGTGTCGTAAAAGGCGCTATACAAATAAACATGAATTGAATTGAATTTTTGACGTCATTTTGTGTGTATTTTGCCGCTTAAGTGCAACAAACTGTGAAAAAAAAAACAATATAAGATACTCGCGAAACGGCTTCACACGCGCGCGCTTTGGATGTGACCGTGAGCACGCAGAAATGCACCTTTGGAGCGCGCGAGTACTGAATGGCTTAAAAAGTATTTAAAAAGAGGTGCAAATTATACATTTTGTGACGATGGAACGTGACCCGATTAGTTCTTTAATCTGTCCCAAAATGACAGCGTGCAGCGACTCTTGTAGAGCACACGAGATCCGATGAGAAGCCGCTTTGAGAGAGTGAAAGAGAGACGATTCAGCTGAATCACTCACACGGTTTTCAAATGACTGATTTAATCTGACAGTCTGTGTGGATTTTTATTTATTTATTTTACTCATCTAACCTACACGCTATTTTGAATAAATGTAAAGGAATTTCCCTCATATTAAACACGAAAGCTGCGGGAATGAGTAAAACTATGTGATAGATATGCACACTCCCGCACCGAAATTCAAGACCTGATTAAACATATTCTGTTATATAGAGATTTGTAAAATACATTTCCATGACTTTTCCTAAACTTTCTGGGTTTATTTATTTTTCCAAAACTTTTCCAGGCTTGGAAATTGCTGATTTTAAATTTCATGACTTTTCCAGGTTTTTCATTACCGTACGAACCTGCTGTTGGATGATTAGCCTACAGTAGGCCTATATATATAACTGACAGAAAATAAGAAGTGTGCTGCTAAAGTTTAAGTGGCTGTAATGCAGCATTACATTTGAGCCCGGTCTCATGAAAATGCGTATAAATAGTACGCCAAATACAAACAGAAAGTCGTGCTGTTGATACGCAGAAATTGATTTTGGCGTGAACATAATATGCAGTTTTCGCGTACATATGATACGCATCTACCCCACAACCTTAATCCTACCCATTGCGTATCCGATGAAGTCAATTTCTGCGTATAAATAGTAGGCCTACGACAAATCAAGGGCATGTCTACGTGGTGGCCAGGGGTGGCACCGGCCCCCCCCCTGAAATTTGGCTGGCCACCCCAGGTGCCAGATGTCTTGCGATAGGCTTGTTTTTAGTAAATTTCTAACTGCATCTGGCAGTGGCGGATCCTGGCATGTGTAGGCAGCTACCTAGGGCCGCTTTCTTCTCTTCTTTATACTTAATTTTAGGCGGTTTCTATAGTGTGATCTTAATTACAATGTCGAGAGCGCATAATGTTACGCGATCCATGTGCGCGAGGACGAATCTCTCCACTCCCAAGCGGATTTCCTTCACTCACACAAAACTGGACGTGTGCTTTTAAATATTGTTCTTTTATGAATTGGCTCTGCTCTCGCTCAGATATTGCGTGTACACGCTCAAACGTTGTCTTTGCATCACTGAAGACGAAGAGCTTTTTTTCTAATTCAGGTGAGGAGTAGGCTTATCTCACTAAATGGAAGCAAGCTGATTATAGTCAGCCTTCTCTAGTTATTTATTTTATTAATAGCCTACTTATTTTAGTTAAGTGATTAAATTGTAAATATTCATTTATTCAATTATTTTATTTAGTGCATTTGTATTTTTTGTTTTTGTATATAGTTTTGCAATAAAAGCGTATCAACCAGGTTCCAGAAATAATCACTGAGGGTGCTTCTGAAATGAGTGAGGGTGCTCTAGTATTAATGCACATTTTCACATATTTTGTCCCGTCTGTTGCTATGGTTATCACTATGTCAATCACTGCTACTTCGAGAGTGAATCCCGCATAAATATACTGCACGTCATTCCCGAAACTTTGCAACATGTGTGTGGCCGAAAAACTTGACTAGAAAGCTTGCAAAGCGTGCTCATAACCACTAAAAAGCTGTCACTTTGTTTAGTGAGTGTACACGATGTATTATAACATACATCGTTCCGCAAACACAACCTCTCCGTCCAAACAGTTGATAAAAGCATAACAATAATCTACAAATAATTGACATGACAGCAGTCCATTAATTAACATATTGTGTAGTGAAAAGCTGTGTTTGTGAAAAAAATAAACCCTTGTTAACTTTAAACTGTCGCTTCTGACCAAAATGCAGGTCTATAATCCAAAATTTTCATTTTTGGTGAACTATTCCTTTTTGATGTGACAGAGCCTTGAAAGCAAAGATTCAGAATAAAATCAGCCTTCCCAGTAATGTTCCCAAAGAAGATCAAAGCATCAGTGTCACATCTGATGTGACATTCACCCCATACCCATCTCTGAATGTGTCTTCAACGCAGCTTAACTTCTCTATTTTGTGCTCATTGCTTATGGCTTATTTGGCTGTTGGCAAGATATTGGTTGCTTTTGGTTTATCTGGTTATTAACTTACCACTTATTAATAAATGTATATTCTGACACTTATGATGACATAATATTTGTCAATAATAGTTGATGGTAGTGGTTCCTGACTGAAATGTAGTTTTTATTTAATTTTGAGTTATTTTAATTAAAAAATATTTTTATTAAATTATTTTAGTATACTAAAACCAGTGTTTAAGTTTTCAAAGAGTGAGAGAGGGGGAAAAAAGAAGAGATATATGCCTTACCTGAGAGAAACCTCCCAACACAATTCTATGAGATGGAATACCATTTTTAACTTCTTGATCAATCAGTGCTTTGACTGTGAACAAATTTAAAACAGTAGTTAATGGCAGATTCTGTTGTTATTCTTACACTGCAGTTTCATATTATACTTAACTGCTTTCAGCAGCTCTTTTAATTCCAGTTTCATCTTCCTCTGCCTCAGGATTGAGACTAACTATGTCAAACCTAAAAGTAACAAACTTTTAATCAGTGAAATATGTAATATGTAGGCTTATGCTGTAGAAAGCACATGGAAAATAGTGTTTATAACTCACCAGGAAGGCATTGCCATGTTCATGTTGAGGGTGACAGGCATTACTGGTCTTTCATGGTTAGTTGCATAAAAAAGAGGGAACAAAAGTAAATGAGAACAGAGAACGAGGACGTAAAAGAGAACAAACGGTAAAAATGTATATGGGTTATTCCTACTATGCAGTATGTGGCCCCATGGGATAGTAAATCATCCACTGGTATGTATACTTCATAATCTTGGCCTAAATAGTAAGACATCCATGTACTTTTCGTGTGCTGCTTTTAGCCTGCTATGTTTCCCTCTCCTTATCTTAACTCTTGGATTAAATATTGTCAAAAGTTATCAAACAATCAGAAGAGATTTCCAAGGCTGAAGAAAGAAAATGTTACCTCATGCATGAAATCTTATTGAGAGTGAAATGCACCTGGAGTTCATTGATATTATTTAATATTACATATTACATAAACGCAGTCATTTATGTCTTAAAGGGATAGTTCACCCAAAAATGAAAATTCTGTCATTAATTACTCACCCCCATGTCGTTTCAAACCCGTAAGACCTTCGTTCATCTTCGGAACATAAATGAAGATATTTTTGATGGAATCTGAGAGCTGTCTGACCCTGCACAGACAGCAAAACAACTGAAAGCGGATACTCTCCAAAATGGCGCTACAGGGTGACGCGGAGGAGACAAATTGTTGAATAAAGTCTTTTTTTTTTTCTTTTGCGCACAAAAAGTATTCTGGTAGCTTCGTAAAATTACGGTTGAACCCCTGATGTCACATGGATTATTTTACAGATCTCCTTGCTACATTTCTGGACTTGGGAACATTTCAGTTGTATTGCTGTCTATGCAGGGTCAGACAGCTCTCAGATTCCATCAAAAATATCTTAATTTGTGTTCTGAAGATGAACGAAGGTCTTACGGGTTTGAAACGACATGAGGGTGAGTAATTAATGACAGAATTTTCATTTTTGGGTGAACTAACCCTTTACGGCCGTTTCACATTGAGCGTGATGTGAAAAAGCGAGGTGAATCGCTGACGAACGTTGCTTTCACACCGAGTTCGAAACGATTAATCGCCTTCTGCTAATTCACGCCTGCGTGACCGGTGGCACCGACCAGCAATGCATTTTTCCTCATATAGCCTATGTATCTCGTATATGGTTTTACATCGTCCACTGCTCAATATACAGCATTAAATTAGGATAAATAACATTTGGTTCTTCATCAGAAACACAAACTATCCATAATGCTTACAAGAAAATATAATTTGAGGTACAATTAGCAGCTACATTTCAAAATGTATGTAATTAATGTTTTTGCTCAAACCCCACTTTAAACCATAATCGAGTGCTTGTAATAACTTCTGATTGTGATCTAAAATGGATTTTGATTCTATAATAGGCAGACATGCACTCTTTGTGTTATAATGGACTGAACGCTACCTGCTTGTCATTTGTCATAAACATCCTTTATTTTTAAATACCATGAGCTGCATAAAAACATATACAGAAAATATATCGTATGAATATAAATATATCTATATGTTCAGACACCAACGACAAAAACATCTCGACATCCATATTCTTTGTATGTTGGTTGAAAGTCCTCTACTTCGGTGTTTTTACGCGAATGTTCGCGGTCTATGGCTATGTTCACACTGTCAGTTTTTGGGATTGACAACCGCATTTACTAACAGGTGTGAGTCTCGAAATGTCACGTTCACACAGCAACTTACAGTAGCGTCTCGAATACTGTCTGTATGAACGTGCAACGGGAGTCAAGCCCGTATTCCTTACCAATTACCATAGCGACAGTGACCAAAATAATATAAAAGATGGTGACGTCCATAAAACTGAAAGTCTTATCACTTTCTGACACTACAAGAGTCCAATTGAGCTGCAAGTTCATCCGTCAAACCTTCATTAACCGACAGCAGCTTTTATATTTGGGTGGAGAGCGGAGCATTTGAGTCACGCGCAGAACACAAACTGACGGGAGCGGCTCCCGTGGAGACTGGATCTAAAACATTCAGATGACACACAGCTCATTTCTCCATCACTGTAAGTTACTGAAACCACACATGAAAACACGCAACACATGGTAAACACGCATTTGTGCAGAAGAGCGGCTCTCTCTCTCGCACTGTATAACGTGGCAGACAACTAGTTGTCCAGTCCTGTTCCGTTCACACAGCGCGGGTTTTCCAAGAATGCGGTTGTGACTCCTGAAAATGTATGGGTGTGAGTTCGGTTACAGAATGCGGTTGTCACGCCTGAAAATAACCGTACTGTGTGTGAAAAACCCGTATTAAGGACTCAAATACAGGACTGACAACCATGTTCTGCTGCTGTGTGAACGTGGCCTATGTGGAAGCATCCATAGGAATCTGTTGTTTTATTCCAGGGCGTCAACGTGTCCGATATTCGTTTAGCTTTTTCGCGCTCAGTGTGGAAAGGCCTTTAAGCAGGAGAAAATCAGATATGTATCAGTATACTGGATCTGTGCATTAGGTTTTAAAGTGAGAGAAGCCTAATATACCTACTGCAGTCTGTGTCCAAAATGGACTAAAGAAAAGGAGAAAATCACTCACTACTCCTGACTGAACAACTTGAGTAGATTTAATAAGGATTAATGTTACAAAGGAAGCACAAATGTGCCATCTAGTGGCCATTGGTGGATGCATTAAAAGTGACAGAGACGGAGAAATGTGCATATTATGAACAGTTGCGAGATTGTTCGAGATGTCACAGCACAGAGCCCATACAAGAACAATCTGTCATATTTGAAATGATTTTAAAGTAGGCAATAGTTCAGTTTTATTGATATTAAATAATTTATGTTTCCTTGTTGTTATATTTTAAAGGGGTGGTACATTGCGATTTAACTTTTTTAACTTTAGTTAGTCTGTAATGTTTTGGTTTGAGCATAAACAATATCTGCAAAGTTACGATGCTGAAAGTTCAATGCAAACGGAGATACTTATTCAGATAATTAGCTCGTCAGCTCCTTCAATGAACTGTGTTCCATTATACACTGTGTATAGACAGACAGATATTTTTCATATAGCTACGAGAAGCGTTAAACATGGACGCATGCGTGGTTGATGTGGTAGTGAGCAAAACTTGCTGGCAAACACTTCTTACGGTTACAAAATTGCTACAATGCAATCATGTATTCTGCTGTATTAAAGCTTTAATCAGGATAAAACCAAATATTAGAAGCTAACATAAGCAGTAGCATTTACAAATAACAGCGTATATAAAAGTATGAGACAACAACAAACAAAAAAAACATACTATTCTCAAACATCCTGTAAGAGCCGTGCTTGCACAGGTTCTGCAGGATCCTCTTCACTAATATTCTCTGGGTCTCAATCAAGCTCAAATTGATAAGCAATATTGACGACACCATTGTTTACAATACAACACTGGCACACATGCCACTGAGGTAAGGGGCTTGACGTTTCTGGACTACACTAGGCGGTTTCGCGAATCACAACACACTGGGCCAATCTGAGCCCATTGCGTATTTCTGAGGGAGGGGCTTCATAAAACCAGGAAATTATCAATGCGTTCATAATAGAAGGGACAGAGAGTGTAGAATAAAGGTAAATTGTGTGGAGAAAATAATGCGTTTTTTCTTTTACTAAGCATCAACATGTTAGACTGCACCCCATAAACACAATCAAGCCTAGAAAAAAAAACAGTCAACCACCACTTTAAGTTAGTATGCATTACATAGTGTTACAAATTGTTCTGTCCAAAACAAGCCACTGTGTTATATGTGGTGTGTTGTGGTCTGGGTAACGTGAAATAGACGTGAAACATGAAAAGTCTAGGGTCACTTTTTAGTCCCAGTCCACCTCTGGTCATGTTGTTTGTGGGAGATTTACATTTTGTTTCTTGAATCATTGAACATGATATTCCGTGAATTGTTCTTTATACATTCATATGAGAACGAATGGTGAATTTATACCTTTTATGTTATTTACATTGAGCCAGGCATGATGTTAAACTTATACGATTTTATAAATAATGGTGCTTTATACATGTATTACTGTTCTGTTAATTTGTAGCCACATATATTGATGGAGATAGTGGGTGTACATTATATAAGCAGGCTGCAACTGCAATGTTCAAATCTGTACCAAGTGTGACTTCACTACAGTCTGTGTTCTCTGCTGTTGAACAAATGATAAAGTAAAAGTATTCAAACTGATCCCTACCTCCTGTCAGCGTTCTGTTTTGCTTTATCACATATATCCTATAAAAGCATACAATATTAATTGATAAAAAGCTAAAGAAAAAAACTATTAAAGGGGTCATATGATGCGATTTAAATTTTTCCTTTGGAGTGGTACAAGCTCTTGGTGCATAAAGAAGATCTGTAAAGTTGCAAAGACTAAAGTCTCAAATAGACATTAGCTGTTCTGACATAAGCAGGCAGACCAGGGATGGTCAGCTTCTATCCTGGAGGGCAACTGTCCTGCATAGTGTAGTTCCACACCTTATCAAACACATTTGACTGTAATTTTTAAGAACTCTTATGTTTAAATTATTTTGCCTAGGCTTGACCAAAATCATTTTTCAAATGTTTTACACTTCCACATGATTATTACATAAGTTCATTTAAAGACACTCTGCAGTGAAAGTCATCACCATTGCTGAGCATTTTCTCCTTAAAACTGCAGAGTACCAAAAGTTGCCTTGTTTCCAACCTTCACAAACATTTAATCAATTCTGTCAACTTGCAGGGCAGGGCTTACAATATTATTTCATCTTTATATTATCAGCATGTTTTTGCAGATCAATTGTGCAATGTAGCTAATCACAGACATGTAATTGTTGATTACATGAGCTACATTGTTGATTTCATGGATCCAATGGCCAATCAGAGGTGTTTAAGACTGAATCCACTTACTGCTCAAAAAAGGGTTTTGTTCAGTGCTGAGTTCTGCACACTGATGAATCCTCTTATTATAACAAAGTGCAGATGCAATGTAAATAGATTCAATGTGCAATGTAGAGCTTATTTGATCAGAATTGAACTTTGTGAGACTGCAA